ACTCCCAGACACGATTTTTCATAATACATATGAGACATAATTTATATGGAAAAATGGAAATAAAAATATAATTTCTACACCCTGTATCTCCGAAACTAAGCATTTTAGGACATACATTTATACAAACTTTTTTACTTATTTTTATCTGCAGAATATGGTGCCAAAGTTTCCGGAATACCGTTCGGACCACCCTGTGCATAGATGATTTGGTGATTGCCATCAGTAAACCATCAGTTACCATTATCAGTTAGTAAAAAATATAGATATTTTTTACTAAAAATTATACCATGGATCATGGATCAAAGATATTCCATCAAACTATTCTATTCAAAAAATACAAAATATCACTTAAGCAAGTGGCATGTTCAACAAAAGACCAAATTTCTACCTAAAATATCAAAATTCGTTTGACCTTAACGCGGGTATGTATCCCAAAAAAAGAAACTGTCGCTTCTCCTTATATGTAAAAAAGGGCATTTCCCACAGTGACATGTTATCCTGTTAAGATATTTATACAGTCAGTCTGGGAGAGAAGAAACATTAAGGGACTGACTTATAAACAGGAATGGCTGACACTTTTATGCACGGAAACTGTAAAAAGCTGAAAAGGCCGGGGACATAAAAAAGGGGTGATGTTTTTATTATTCATTCTCTTTATAAGCCTCGAGTTCTCTTTTTTATATGGCAAAACTCAAAACTCCCCCGCAACTTACGTATGTAAAATGTAATGTCAAAGAAAATGCGATTTGCATTTTCAATATTTCAGGAAATATTGAAACGTAAATATTTTTTGCAACTAAGCTTTATAGCAATATGTTTTGGTTATTTGTTGAATTAGTCAGTATTCTAATGTATTTTATGATCTTGAATATACATAACTGAGCAAAATATAAAATTTCGTTAACTGACCACAAAAAAAATCCCTATATAGCTTCTTAATCGAATTTGAAAGAAAAAAAAATAATTTAGAAAATTTTGTTTAAGTGATGCTAATAAGTTTTCTGATGTAATTATCCTTATCAAATAGCAATAAAGTGTATCCAACAAGAGAAGACCTGCGTTTCCGGTAAGAGAAGACCTGAAAGTGTGTGTGTGTGTGTGTGTGACAGTTGATGCTTGTCATTTTAATTTAGAGTTAAAGGTATTTTCTGTAATTTAATACATATCGTCTGTTGAAAGCTTCTATATTTAAAGCAGTATCTTTATATACGTTATAACTTTATTTTTTAAAACCAATATAAATGTAGAGCTAATAAAAGCAGTAAAATCATTATATAAACAAACAAAAATTAGAGAATAAAAGTCGGCAAAAAGTTAACAACAGGATTTAATGGAACCAAAGGTCTGAAACAAGGGTGCTGTATTTCACCAACACTGTTCAAGATATATCTCGAACAAGTTCTCAAAGGTTGGAAGCAAAAGTGTAGAAATATGGGAGTACCCATAGGGGATAACATGCTCTACACACTTTGCTTCGCGGACGATCAGGTGATCATAGCACAAGATTACGATGACATAAATTATATGACACGTAAGCTTATAGAAGAATATCAGAAATAGGGACTCGAGATCAATACTAACAAAACAGAATATATGTGTATCGGAGGAGAACAACAAGATTTAATACTAGAAGAAGGGAAGAAAATTAAGCGCTGCCCAAATACAGATATTTGGGTATGCAAATCACAAATGATGGACTGTTGGATATAGCAATTAAAGAACGAAACCAACTTGGAAGGAATGCTATCACGGTATTGAATGGGATACTGTGGGACAGAAGCTAAAGAAAATAAGAAGCTAAGAAAACTCTAATATACAATACCATCATAAATAGTATAACCACGTACAGCTGTGAAGTGTGGCCAATTAAGGAAACAACAAAACGAATGCTGAAAGCTACAGAGATGGATTTTTGGAGAAGATCAGCAGGCAAATCAAGACTCGAGCGAATAACTAATGAACGCATAAGAGAGATTATGGAATTTAAACATACGATAGTGAACGACATAAAGAACAGTCAACTCATATGGTACGGGCATGTCCAAAGAATGGCAGAAATAAGAATCCCAAAGCAAATTATAAACTGGAAACCTGCAGGAAGAAGAAAACCGGGTAGACCGAGAAGAAGTTGGCAGGAAGGGATTGACACGTTTATGGAGGAAAGATCTCTTGGAGACGGTGCATGGAGAGACAGACAGGCATGGAGAGATGGCATCGGAAGACGTGTAACGTTTTAAACCGATTAATGTATATATATATATATATATAACTTTATTTTGCTTATGTTTTGCCTATTTAATAAAATATATTAGAATTACTAATTCAATTGATCATGACCATTTAATTCAACTGTTATTCTGTCCATGATCCATTCATATGATAGTTCATATTCTGAGACATTCTGCGTTTCTCTGTATTTCTATATGAAATTGAATTATAATATGTTTTCATTGACGCACTAACTATATTTTATACCGGGTGCCCGGGGTTCAGATAGGAAAACGAGATTTGGTATGTTAGTATATGATATATTATAAAGTATGATTGACGTTCCTAACAAACACAGGCGTTAGGCAGGGATGTGTCTTAGCGCCTCTACTATTCAATATATTCATGGCAGCGCTCTCCATTATAGTGGACAGCAAACTGCAGGAGAGAGGTTTGGGCATTAGATACAGATACGACGGCGGTCTGTTCAATCAGGGCAAAAATACGTACAAAATTCATCACAGAACTTCAATACGCTGATGACTGTGCTCTAGTTGCAAATACGTTACAGCAATTGCAAGAAATGTTGAACACATATGCATGGGCATACGAGACCTTGGGACTCAAGCTGAACATCGATAAAACTAAAATCATGTGCACTCCCCCGGAAGATCAAAACAATGCTATAAAAATCGGAGATGAGCTGTTGCAATATGTAGCGGAATTCAATTACCTCGGCAATTTGATTTCGGAAAAAGCCAATATCGACTCTGAAATTCAGCACAGGATTAGCAGCGCCTCAAGAGCATTCGGGAAATTAAAAAACAGGGTTTTCTACAATCATGACTTGAGCACAAAAACGAAACTTGCGGTGTACCGAGCGATAATAATTCCCACCATGTTATATGGAAGCGAAACCTGGGTGCCGTACCGCCGACACATGAACGCATTAAACAAGTTGCAACAGAGACATCTTAGACAACTCTTAAGAATAAAATGGTTCCATCATGTCTCAAACGTATCGGTCCTTGAAAAAGCTAACTGCGAGAGTATTGAAGTCATGATTAGATGCTAAGATGGGCTGGTCACGTATGCAGAATGCAAGAAAACCGCATACCAAAATCTCTGCTTTATGGTGAGCTTGCAGACGGTAAGAGGAGGCCGGGTGGACAACTCGAAAGGTTCAAGGATATTTTCCACGAAAACTTAAAGGGAATTAACAAGCAGAATGAGTGGGAAGAGGCAGCTCACAATAGAACGGAATGGAGAAGAATTGTAAAGTCAGTTAACAGCGACAACCAAAAAGTAAAGAGGCAACAAAGCAATGAGATTTTTGAATGTCTGGAGTGCGGTAGACAGATAACATCACGTATCGGGCTTTTCAGTCACAGAAAAGCTCATGAAAGAAAACGTCCTGCGTGGCCATCTTCTGATGCGTGTCAAATACTCGTCAGCGAGTAATGGCGGTATATGATTGACGTATTCAATTATGTTCGGTCAGTTCCTGTTTTACCGGAAATGACTACAACTATTGATTTTTAAATGGCACCCTCGGAATTTTTTTACTTTGTTCGATATAAAATGACACTCTGAATAGAATGACATATCACATGCTAACTATTGACATTCTCGCTCGCAAGAAAATTATATTTTAAATTTCAATCTAGAGTGTCATGGCTGTGTTAAAACACTAATTTTTAATCAAGGAGCCTTGGAAAAATAGATTTGATCGTCTAATGTTTTACTCTTGTAAAAGATGCACAAATCGTATTTTTAATCATATCTCAATTTTTTTCAAATGGAACGAGTGTGGCTCATTAGAATATATGGAAAAAGTACCACACATTTGGTATTTCGAGTCAAATTGTCGTTATGAACCTTTAAACATGTTACAATTTCCAATAAACCATATGCGAAAATATCAAAAGTTGACATATGATATGTAATTTTATTCATAGTGTCATTTTCTGTCGAATGAATTAAAAAATACCGAAGATGCCATGTAAAAATCAAAAGTAGTAATTTCTGTTGAAACAGGGAGTAACCGAAAACAATTGAATACGTCAATCAGTACCATACATCTTTTTTTTTTAACTGAAAAAAATAAAAAAGTTATAGGGGTGAGCCACTTTTCAGACGCACTCGGTATATTTTAAAAGTATCAAATTGGAAATTAGACACATCATGTGCGATTTTGTCATACGCCCTAATTTATACGTCATTTTATACGTCACATGAAACTAATTATATTCCTACATACTAATTATTTAATTTATTTCGAACCGAAACAAATTATATTAAATCAAATAAAATAGATAACAGTAACATAATAATAATTAATATCCCAAACAGGAAATATCTAAAATTATTTGGATTTAGTTCAGATTTAAATCGGTTTGTTTTAAATTATTCTAACTAAAATTCAATTAGATATTATGAAGAATAAATAACCCATTATAGAAATTGGGCAAACGCATATGATTATACCCTGACCTTGTTTTTCTCATTACATTACATATTATATATTTAGTAGGATATATTACAAATAAAATTTTATATATCAATGATAGAAAATTGAATGTGTAGGAATATGCACTGACGGACCAAAAACAATTTCTAAAAAACAATGCAGGACTTGCAATACAAATGAATAATGCACTATATTATTTTGACTACCGTCACAGTTAGGTTGTAGTTGTTAAGATATGTTTTTAGATGTAACGCATTGAATAGTTTTCTTCAAAACATATTTTTCTAATTGAACCTTTGCGTATAAAGTTGTACAAACTTACCTTTCAGTGAACAGTCCACTTCGATGCTAGTGTTAATGGATACTGTAAGAAAGAGAAAAAAAAATATCATTAGCAAAAATAGAATAACATGAAACACGAGAATCGTTCTAAAATTATAACACAAATAAATTTCAATCACGGATGTTTACTAGGGAACAAACAAATTGATGATTGAGATTAATTTGGGGCTTTATACTTTACAAAGCCGCTACTGGTGTGTCTTAAAAGAACTACGAGATTAAACGCTTGTGGAAGTGGCGTAAAAGCTCCTTTAGTCAGGAATATTGATATAGATGAGGCAGTTTTGCGTAAGGCTTTTAGATGAAACGCCGTAAAAAATAATGCGAAGCACGGAAATTTTTATCCCGGTCGTCCTAAGATATTTATTGAACATGTATTTAGGTTAATTACTGTTTTAAATTTATAATTTTAAGAATGTCATAACTGATCCAAATAACACAATTTATTTGTCAACATAGCGATAGAAAATACTGTGACTGATCCAAATATTACAATTTATTCACTGATAAAAAAGATAGACTTGAACTAAAGTCGTCATCGTTCTTGAAAAAAAAATTAGTGGCAAGAGAATTTATTTTAGTGTAAAAGAAAATATTTTGCCTGAAGAAAAACTCTCTTAACTCAAGAAAACTGGTTCTCTTGAAAAATTCGAAAATTTCTCTTGAATCTATTTTCATTCAACCAAGTGCAAGTTACTTTGTTTTAAGATAATAAGAAAAATACCCTAGGAAGTACTTCATTCAAGAAACATGGCCATTTTTCCAATAGTTAAATACTATTTTGATGAAAAATAACCAATAATTTATGGGCATGCTATAAATATTTTAAATAACATTACTCATGTAAAAAATTCAAAAATACGAAATCAGCTTTATTTTTTTCATTTGTAGAAAAATTAAGAAGAAAAATAATAAAAAATATAATAATAAGGCAACTATCTGCACTCCAAGCACGGTCTGCTACCGTTTTAATCGATATTTCTCCTAAAATATTAAACAATGCGTTCAGTCAATAAAAATTCGATTTTTTTTATTAGGAGGTGGTTTAAAAATCTTTTATAGACGAATAGCAATCATTTCCATCACCATCTCGATAGAGACGATCATAGAAATAACCCCTAGACAGTGTAGGAATTGTTACCCACTAAAAACAGTCCACCTCCGAGGAACCAGCTGCCGAAGTATGGTCAGCTATTATTCCTGCTGATATTGGGGAGAAAGGGAAGGGTTATTTGTGGTGTATTGGGAGAACTATATTAAGAGAAGGGGATAGACAAAGTTAATTGTCCAGAAGAATCGTTTTTAAATGGGAGTATTTGAAGTTTCTATAGTCCTCGGGATTGTAGTCGAAGATTTTTGGGGTGCAATTGGGGACAGTACCAATTTTCTAGTAGTACTTTAAGGCAATATTTCGAAGATATTTGGGAATGGGGTCGATGCGGAGGTCGGTTCGGATGTCGGACTTGCGTACACATCAGGGAATTCTGGTAATGTATCAGAGGATTTTGTTTTCACAGACTTGGAGTTTGTTGATTTGGTTGTCGGAAGCTCTACACCATCCTAGGGCTGCATAGAGGAGCTGAGGGCGGAGGTGGACCCTCTACCGCGTGTATATAGATAGCGATCTACAAAATATATTGCTGTTTATTGAAATGTATTTTGTAGTAAATTGAATATACTCCAATATTGTGTCTGCATTCAGAGATTCAGTAGACGTACTTTAGAAGACATATTTAATTTGAATTTATGTATAAATGCATTAAATATAAAACGTCTAGGCCGATAATGTTGTGTGGTTTGTACCCTACTGTTCGACAATCCAAACATTTCCCTAATTTGCCTTACATCTCTTTTTTTTTTCATTTTCATTTTATTTACATGTACGAATTAAAAAGGTTGTACTATACAGGGTGAGTCTTAAATAAGTGCAAATATTTTCAGGGGTCGTATATTTCGACCCCAGGAACACGTCTATTTTTTGCTAAAATATGTTGAAAATCGGGCATTTTCACTAGTAATACCACTAGAGGTCAAATTATTTCCGGAAATTTTTTCGAGCTCATTAATATTTTGAAAATTATCCCGAGTCGAAGACGAGGGATAATTTTCTGAAAATATTCATGAGCGAGAAAAAATGTCCGGATTTAATTTCACCTCGTGTGGTATTCGGTAAGAAAATTCCACACCAAATTGTGTTTGAAAATCAAATAATTAAAATGTATTTTTCGATTTTTGGTCGAATTGATTATTTAGTTACTATGACAACTAAGTGACACCCAAACCTAAAAACTATTTCAGTTTTGAAGCTGTCAAGCGGCACGGCTTAAAAAAAAATATTTCGCTTGGGTCATGAAAGCAAAGAAAATATTCGCCAAGAGATTAAGCAGTTGACACCCGCGAATACTAGGAAATTAGTCAAGGAATAAAGTCAAGCGTATGGAAGCAGTTTACAAACTTTCATCTCAGCTTTGTAATTGGAATGTATCAAAATTATCATGTAAACAAATAAAAACCTTGACTCTCAAAAAGATATTCTGTCATTATAAACGTCAAAAAATTTCCAGTATAATTCGCTGTTGGGTACCCACAAGGAAAAAATTTTCACTAAAATTTATCCGTTGCCATGGTGATTTGTCAAAAAAACACGTTTTGATTGGTTAAAAATTACAGGTGTGGAATTTTCTTTTAAATTTCCCTGTTTATTTTACGAAAATTTTTTAGAACTGCATATTCACCGCAAATTTTCCCACGGTATAATTCCTTAATGTCTGATATTACCATAGCTATGGCTTTACTCTGTGGTTGCGGCAATAAAAGACATGCATATACAGAAAAAAATCCGGTGACTCCAAATTTTTTCAAAAATAAATATTTTTTTTTTAATTTTCAAACTTAAATAACTAGGTTATTTTGGAGTTATCTGAAAAATGGTAATGAGAAAATATGTGTCTTTTATCGAGATCTACCAGCCCTGAAAATATTTGCACTTATTTAAGACTCACCCTGTATATACCTTTTTTGAGAAATAATTTCGCCACAAAGGTACAGTACGTCTGTTCATTCTGTAGCTACGGGGTATCCCTGAGCGGGGAAACGATATTCTCTCGATGTTTTTCGTAAAAAAATAGACGACGCGTCCCATCAATAAAAATTCGACAAATTTGCAAGTAGCGAATAAAATGAGTGGGCGGAGCGATTTGCGGTGACGTACTCGTCAAGTCGACGTATAAAATATATTGTTGTTTATTTAAATGTTTTTTGTCCTCATTCCTTTTATAGACACAGATCAAGCAGACGTACTGTAGAGACATAATTTAAAATTATTGTTAATATACTCTTCCAACTATAAAGACGGATATTGATTGAGCCGAACGCTGTAATGTAACGCTTGTTCACTGCTCGCGACCAACGTTTTGTTCGGAGTCAAAAAGCGAAAATCTCGTTTCGAAATCTCGGCTCGCTGTGCTCCAGCATATCTTAATCCCTTAAAAAATGTCAGATCTAAAAATTGGGAGTGCTACGTTTATTGGAACTTCTTAACTATTTATTATATTTCTTACACAACCAATTAACAAAAGTGCGTTTAACCTTGATAAGAATACGAACGTTCGCAGAACCTATACTGACTTGTAATGTAACAATTAAGAAGATTCGTTAAAAAAACGAAGGTCGACAGAAGCACCGTTGTTGTTCGCGAGCCACTCGGTTCGATGATTATTTCCCAGCATTGACTAGCGAATGCTCGTATTACCGAGCGTTACGCTCGGCGCATGTCAATTTTCGCCTTAAGGTTGAAAGTAATATCGAAGGTTTTTTTTATTAGAATTATACATTTTATATTAGGAAATGTATATTATTCTTACGAATACGGACGTAATCTATATATTATTTGGACAATTAAAATTAAATATTTGGGTCTCTTTGACTGAGAAAAAAATGTTTAGCGGTTATATATACCAGGATTTGTTTATAACCTTACGACGTCTTAGATTAACTTTTAATTTTATATTTAAGATATGTGTAATATATATTTTCATTCTTTTTTTCAAGGCGATTTTATAATGATTTAGTGATTGATAGAGTAAATATTTATTGTTAGCGAATGTTAAAATTATCTAAGTTATATGTTTAAGATCAATTAATTATTAAGAATAGTATAATTTACCTGATATAATGTAACCTAGAAGGTTCCAAATATATGGAAGATACATATAAAACACGTTTTATGTTTTATAAGGATTCTAACAAATATGGTTTATTATATTTTGTTTCTACGTTGGTCCCTAAATAATTACCCAGTATTAATTCAAAATTCGTAATAAAAAAGACAAATATAAACTACAAATTATTTCACTTTAAAAGAAACTTCAGTTGTTCAAGCAGAATAAGAAAAAGCATTAATAATGCTCGAAATAATCTCGAGAATAAATTAGACGGAAAAAATCCAGCGTTAAATTTCACAGACTATTCTCATAAGCACCATTTCATTTACATCCCAATAGGGCTTAATGAAAAGAATGTAACGAAGAAAAGGAACGTGTAGAATCGAGAAGGCCGCGACGCCTATTCAAATTGAGAAATTTATTTATCGTATGGCGTGGAAAATGAAACATTTTTGTAAATGCGTTAAAGCTTTTATATTGGTAGAAAAAACTATTCTTCACTTAAAAACATTGTAGATAATGTATGTGTACTGGATTTGTGTTTAAAAAAGGAATTTCAAGAATGCATACACAATATTGAAGTATGATCAGTTTACTACAAAATACTAAATAACAATTATTAAATTATTATTACAAGATGAGTTTCAGATTTTCCAGAAAATGGAAATAGCAAAATGCACTACAAAGAGATAATAAAAATTAATTTAATTGAGTACACTAAATTAAATTATATTTGTGAGTGCCGCAAACATTAACATTGAGGAATGGAACTTTAATTCATTCATTAGTTCAGTTAAATTAATAATAATTAGCTAATATATCAAAGGATTATTTTGTTGGTCCATGTAAATAGGGCGAT